GGCACTTAAAACATTAATAAGTTTTAATGCTCACAGAGACTTTACAAGATTTACATACATATCAAACAAAGGTTTAGTGGAAGGATTTACAAATATTAATTTTCTCAGAAAAACGTCTAAAAAAATCAGGGTAGGGGGAACATATCTTCCTCTTTTGACAACAGGGAAAATTCAATTTTTAATTTCTGGAGCAAACTGCTAGTCCCTAAAAACCCTAGAAAACTCCTGCACCTTTTTCCTACCTACACCCTCTACCATCTCAGGATAGTTTGGACAATAGTCTAAGCCCATATTTGCTTCTGTCTCTATCTTTTGCTTTTGTTGTAGAAATGATCACAGTGTACTGTGATTGCCTGTTGAATTCTTTGTTTCTAAGGTTTGGTGAGCTAATCATAAGGAAATAAACTATTTCTTTTCATTGCTAGATCCCTAGTGTCTTATGAATCAGCAGTGCCCAGGAAAGAGCCTGGCATATTGTAGCAACTCAGTCAATATTTGTTGAATGAATAAAATAAAGAGTAATCAGGGATTTTTAACAAGATGTGGTAGTTGAAATAAAGGCCCTTAAAGATACCTGGGAACCTGTTAATATTACTTATATAGCAAAGAGACTTTCCAGGTATAATTAGGTTAAGGATCTTGAGATGGTGAAATTATCCTGGGTTATGCAGGTGGGACTATATGTAACCACAACTGACCTTAGAGAGGCAGAGGGAGATTTGGCACAGAAAGCAGAAGGTAGTGTGATGATGGAAGCAGAGAGAAATGTGAGGATGCTATGCTGTTGGCTTTCCAGATGGAGGAAGGAGCCATGAACCAAGGAATGCAGCTATAGAGGCTGGAAAAGGAAGGGAAAGGATTCGACCCTAGAGCCCTACCAGCACCTTGGTTTCAGCCTAGTGAAAGTGATTTTAGACTTTTGGCCTCTGGACAGTAAAGGGACAGAATACATTGTTTTAAGCTACTAAGTTTGTGGTACTCTATTACAGCAGCCATGGGAAAGTAATATGTAAGATAAGTTATTTAAGGATAAATTCAAGGGGAAATAATACTGGAAAGAATGGAAACTGGGATCAGAAGAAGGAATTGAGGGTCAATAACAGTAATTATTGAAGATTAATGAGACACTCAACATAGGCATATTTTAGTGATGGCTGTAGGAGACATTTCAGTGATGGAATGAAGAGAATTTGGTGACTAACAAGGCTTGGAATGCAGGGGAGAGAAGGTTCTGGGATGAAACTTATGGCAAAGCAACAGTAAGACTGTGATGTCATTCTGAACTAGGGAAATGTGCTGAGTTCAGATTTGGACAGACAGAATTTGAAGTGTAACAAGATAGATTCTCTAAAATATAGTTAAACTTCCCACACTTCATTATTCACATCCTGCTATCATCTAGATCACTTGGACTTGACTCCAGGTCTCCCAGCTAGGTGCCTTGGATAAATGATTCAACTTCCTTCTGTAGCTTAGTTTCTTCAGCTGTTAAATACAGGTAATAATGGCACCTAACTCATAGGCTTGTGAAGCGATTAAGAAAGTTGATTCATGTAAAACACTTAGAAGAGAACCTGGTGGAAAATAAATGCCCAATAAATGCTACCTATTATATCTTGTATGTCATAATGCTGAGACTGCCTGTCCCCATCTTTGCCTTAAGTTGCATTACCTAAGGACTCTTTTAGTTATCTTAAATGTGTAACCAGACCTAGGAAAGTGAGAGAAAAGTTATCTAAATAAAATAACAATAACTAGTAATAATAACAATAATATAACAATAACAACAATAAAAGTAAGCCAAAGCTTCATCTGCATTATTTCATGTAATCCTTACAAAAATTTCATGTGGCTGAAAAGATGCTCCACATTGCTAATTATCAGGGAAATGAAAATTAAAACCAAAATGAGATATCACCTCACACCAGTTAGGATGGCCAACATCGAAAAGACTAAGAACAACAAATGCTGGCGAGGATGCGGAGAAAGGGGAACCCTCCTACACTGCTGGTGGGAATGTAAACTAGTTCAACCATTGTGGAAAGCAATATGGAGGTTCCTCAAAAAACTAAAAATAGAAATACCATTTGACCCAGGAATTCCACTCCTTGGAATTTACCCAAAGAATACAAGTTCTCAGATTCAAAAAAACATATGCACCACCATGTTTATTGCAGCACTATTTACAACAGCCAAGATATGGAAGAGACCTAAGTGTCCATCTGTAGATGAATGGATAAAGAAGAGGTGGTACATATACACAATGAAATATTATTCAGCTATAAGCAAGAAACAAATCCTACCATTTGCAACAACATGGATGGAGCTGGAGGATATTATGCTCAGTGAAATAAGTCAGACGGAGAAAGACAAGTACCAAATCATTTCCCTCACTTGTGGAGTGCAATAATGTAGCATAACTGAAGGAAAAAAACAGCAGCAGGCTCAACAGACTCCAAGAAGGGACTAGCAGTTACCAAAGGGGAGGGATGTGGGAGAGCGGGTGGGGAGAGAAGGAGAAGGGGATTGAGGAATATTATGATTAGTACACATGGTGTTGGGGGGAGCATGGGGAAGACAAGTGTAGCACAGAGAAGACAAGAAGTGAATTTGTGGCATTTTACTACACTGATGGACAGTGACTGCAATGGGGTATGGGGAGGGGCTCAATAATATGGGTGAATGTAGTAAACATTTTTCATGTGAAACTTTCATAAGAGTGTATATCAATAATGCCTTAATAAAAAATTGTCTAAAAAACATTTCATGTGGCAAGTACTATTGTATTGCTACCCCCCTTTTACAGATGAGGGAAAAACATCCTTATATGATTCTTAAATAGCCCAGAAGTTCTGCCTTTCAAATGTTTCTCTAGAAACTGCCAGGCTTATATCCTTCCCTTGCACCTTGCCTGTGAACTCTGCTTTGGGCAAGTTGCCTGGAGATTCCTGCTTCTTTAGATAATGCTGGAACGCTCCACTTCTGTCATACCAGCTAAGTTCCTCTTCATAGGATCCAAGTGAACTCTTATAACACAGAAGAATTAGTTGAAACTCCTAAGAGGGTTTTTATTCCATACCTTCAGCAGATTTAAATGGAACATGGATGAATGGGGTTCAAAAGCCTGACACACTCCTTTCCATTAAATATAATGTATTTTCCTCACAGGACTGCTCTGGCAGAAGCTAGCATTAGAGAATGACAGCTCAAATTTCCACATAGGCATGCAAGTCAGCCATCTCAGCTACACCTATTCCACATCTACCTGGGAATGAGGGCAAGCCAGGAACACTACCGTCCCCACTCAGGGCGACTTACCCTTCAGCCATCCTTCTGCACACATCCTCTAAGCCAATGATCCCAAAGTGGAGTAGTCCACAGAACAATTCACGGGGGCACTGGAAGAAATTTAGAACTTCTACTGGTGTTGAGTTTTTAATCTAAGAAAATAAACTGTACTAAAATGTAACAAAGTTTGTATGTTGGAAAGTCACAGGTCACGATTGGTATGAAGAAATGAGTATCAACCATTCCAAATTTACTGGTTCTTTCTATGCACAGGTAACAATCAGTACTGTGCTATCTAACGAGAATTTCAGAAGAATTAACACTCAGTATGTTTTTTCAAAGAAAAAGTGACTTCTTAAAATGAGCAAATGTTTTTCAAAAGACACTCATGCTACTGAGAGAGCATATGTGTGCCAATTATTTTTTTAAGTCTTCATCTGCATAATTGAAAAACTTGGAAACAATTTTTTCCAATTTATTTATAATTTTTCTAAATTATGAACTGGTTCCAGAGGCAATTAAAAGATGAAAACAATAGTTCACTTAGTTCCAAACTAATACAAAGGTGTTGTGTTTGTGTATTTTTTTTAAAATGGGTCAAAACTGCTTAAATCTTTGTTTTCAGACCCATTTGTTAAAATTATAAAAATACAACACTTTTTAATTAGGTTGTAAAAACATTTAATTGGCCCCAGGAAGATGGGACATTTAATAATCCCTTTTCAATAGAAACTTTGCATACTTGCTTAATACAGGCAATAAAAATAAATCAACAATGCTCTCCTCCCATTTGGATTATCGTATCTTTGGACCAATTTTTTGAGCTCTGATGGTCAAAAATATAAAAACAAAACTCAAAACAAACCAAAAAACCCAAGTATAAAAACAAGTGGAAGCGGTGGCGGCGGTGGCGCGGTCGGCAGGGCTCACTTGTCGCCGTCCGGGAGCGGCTGGCGCAGCGCGAGGCGACGCCACAGGGCGGCGGCCGCGGCGGCTGCAGCAGCGCGACGGACTCGTGCACGCGCGACGGACTCGTGCACGCGCGCCGCCGCCGAGGTGACTGAGGAGAGAGGCGCCCCCTCGCCCCCGCCGCCGCCGGACTCCGGTGCCCGGTGCCCAGCTCTCCCGCGTTTGTCGTTGGAATACACGTTGCCCACGTGCAGCGTTCTGGGCGCGAGGGCCGTCTTCTGCCAGGCCCAGCGCAGCGTTTCTGCTGCCAGGTGAGCTTGGGGGCTTCTAGGTGCCGTGATCAACACTGTCTTGAAGACTCGGGCACCCAGACTGGCCCAGAAATACTTGGCTTTTTTTTTTTTTTCGCAAGCATATTTCTTTTAACGACTCCAGTAAAAGTAAGCATCAAGTAAACGAAAGTGGAAACGACCTACACTTTTAACCTGTTCCACTAGTGCCTAAATGTAGTAAAAGCTGCTTGAATTTTGTATGTAGTTGGGTATTTTGGAGGCCAAAGGTATCCATCTGCAGACATCGAGGCCCAAGTTGAATTTGGATTCAAGTGGATTCTAAATACTCTGCTTATCTTGAAGAGAGAAGCTTCTTGAAGAATAAACAAGTTGAACAGAGAAAATGCTGATTGATAATAGGCATTTTAGTGGTCTTTTTAATGTTTTCTGCTGTGAAACATTTCAATGATTTTTCCCCGCATTTTCCCCATCACACTCACACACACACGCTCACACCTCTTATTTGCCATAATGAACCGTCCACCCCCTGGGGAGATCTCCTATGAGAACATGTGTTTTCTGGTAACTCACCGCCCTACCAATGCTGCCCTCAACAAGTTCACAGAGGAACTTAAGGGAGTGACAACTTTGGTTCGAATTTGTGATGCTACGCATGATAAAGCACCAGTTGAAAAAGAAGGAATCCACCTTCTAGATTGGCTGTTTGATGATGGGGCGCCACCCTCTAATCAGAGAGTAGATGATTGGCTAAACCTACTAAAAACCAAATTTCGTGAAAAGCCAGGTTGCTGTGTTGCACGATTGGGAAGGGCACCGGTGCTGGTTGCACTTGCTTTAATTGAATGTGGAATGAAGTATGAGGATGCAGTTCAGTTTGTAAGACAAAAAAGAAGGGGGGCATTCAATTCCAAACAGCTGCTTTACCTGGAGAAATACCAACCTAAGATGTGATTACGCTTCAGAGATACCATTTGGGCATTGCTGTGTTTAGTAGAAATAAATGTAAACGAAGGCTGACTTGATTGTGGCATTTTAGAGGGAACTGTTGGGACCTGGAAATGTGAATCTGGAATCTTAACTGTGCCATCAAAGTAGTGATGGATTCAGTACTCCTGAACCACTCCTAATAATTGGAAAAAAGGAAACAAAAAGAAATCCCTCTAAAACATGAATAAAATATTTAAGAAAAGAACAAAAACAAAAACAAAAAAACAAGTGGAAGTAATTACTGGACTTTTAAGCCAAGATCTTAAAAAATAATGAAGCATATTAACCATGTAAGTCTAAATGTAGTTACTGTATTTAGTGAAACTGAAAAGTTATTATCTAGTGACATAACAAGAACCACTTTTAAAAATATGTTTTTCTCGGGGGCGGAACCAGGATGGCGGCGTGAGTAGAGCAGTGGAAATCTCCTCCCAAAAACACATAGAGCTATGAAAATATACCAAAGAAAAATCTTCCTAAAATAGAGACCACAGGACACAGGACAACATCCAGACCACATCCACACCTGCAAGAACCCAGCGCCTTGCGAAGGGGGTAAGATACAAGCCCCGGCCCGGAGGGACCCGAGCGCCCCTCCCCCCGGCCCCCGG